AACCGGCACAGCTTTCCAATCAACAAGATTTTTTTATCTTTATTTTTATTCAAAAAAATATATATATATTTATAATTTCTAATATTTTTAGACAAAAATAAATACATATTTTCTGACAACCATACAGTCATATGAAAAGAATCTTTAACTTTCTTACAGTGTTGTAATTATCGACATCTTTTCTCATAGGCTGGTTCAATCCAACGTCTCCGGAATGTGAAGGTCATCCTAGTGGGCCAGCATTTTTATTCGCTCCTAGCTGTAAACATAAATGTTTCCGATCCAGTTTAACTTTCCTTTATAAAAGAACTGAACTAAACTTTTTGGCTAGGTATTAGCTTCTTAAACCCAAGTACCAGAAATACTATTTCTCAATAGCCTAAGGTGCGGTTACCAGTTTGTTTGTTTGTTTGTTTTTTTGTTTTGAAATTTTTCAGCTTTTACACTCTGTCTTTTTTTATTCTATAAGAATACTTGCTTTTTGTTTTGTTTTTTTTTTTTGGTCCAGGCTGAATGTTCTTCTTTTTCTGTCGATTTTAGGCTGAAAATATTCTTGTATTATTCTTAAATTGAAGCTTATCTTATTTCCATTTTAACTTGTATTGGGGTATCAATGAACCGTTCATTGAACCATTATTAGCAACATTTGGCTTTAGTTAGTAGTTTGCCTGCTAGTTTTCCCGTTTAGAGAAAGGAACAATTATATCAGTTAAGTTAAAAACATTTACTTGTATTTTATTAACAGATTTTCAACACACAAAATTATATCCTATTACAAATCTCAGCCTCAGGTTTATTCCTATAATAGTACAGCCGCGACTCGACGCGACTCAATAGAGAGATTAAGATTTACGTTTACGCCAAACGGCAAACGTGAATTTGTACCACGTGACCAAGTTTTCCCCTTATTTTCCGTTTATTGTCTATTGCTTCTACACAAAAATAAGTAGTTTTATGCCAGCTTTATCCATAAGAATCGCTCTGGACTGTTTTTATCTGCTTATTTTCTATTCTGAGAAATTCTCAACTGACGTTTGCCGTTTGCCGTATGCCGTAAACGTGAATCTTAATCTCTCTAATGTGACAAAAAAATCTATTAAAAAACAAAATAATAATTACTATGGTCGGCACGTTGTCTTGTTACGTGTATTCCACGTCCAAGCAGGCAAAGGCGAATAATATCGACCTACAGTATGAGCGCGTGACTGAACACATCAAACACAAACCCTTGCTTTTACAAAATATCAATTTTTCGCGTCGTCCTAGCATCCAGCGGTAGAACGATGATGTCGCAACCACCCTAGCATTCGGCGGCAGATTGTGAAGTTTCTGTAACCGAATCGTTCAAGTTTTTTATTGCCACAGTGTCCGCCATAACAGGTATCCTTGGAGCTCGGGGAATATCAATTGGCACCAACTTGTCTTCAAAAGGTGTATTCCACTCTTGGACTTTACCACTAGCAAAAAGCACAAACGTTACCCAGCCGATTACGTACATCCCAGCAGATATGTAAAACACTTTCTGCCACTGAAGTCTTGTCGGCTGTGGAAAGGAGACAGTTAGCTATCGACTACAATTAATTAAACCGAGCAGTGTTTGATACATGTACGCGCTGTAGGTCAACTGGTAGTTGAATCATTATGTCGTTACGTAAGCCGCTCTCTTCAATGGACAAGGCGCGGCAAGTTTTCGCTTATGGGTCTCAACGTCTGCATTTGAGTTTACCTTTTCAATCCCAACACGTGACCAATGACGTCACCAAAATGCAAACTAAGAAACTATCGACTCTTCCGTGAGTTTCTGCTTTCCTGAAGTATTACAGCACTTAAAAACCTCTATTTACACATATTCTCGGTTCGAAAGAGTTCTTCGTTTTCGTTTTATGATAGAAGACGCATGAATTTCCGGGCTTTTGCGTCACGCGGCATTAGGTGGCTTTTGGGTGGGTTAAAATTGTGCCCCTCAAAGAGACACCAACATGGCGTCTTCATACAAAGCCCCATAAATTTGGATAAAACGTTATTCCGAATATCTCGCATATGAAATATCGCACAGACCTGATTCTTGGCGAGGCTTTTCGAGGGCTTGAAAGTGAAAATAGAGAAAATGACAAAATGCAGAAGTTGACGAATTGTACCATGCTAAAGTACTGCTTAAGAGGTTTTATTCAATTGGTACTACTCACTATAGGATCGATTTCAGCAATAGACTCAAAAGTGGTAACAGCATTTTGTCTCCCCTCCATTTTGACTCTTGTGTTTTAAGCATCCAGTATATTAACCATCACGCGGGTAATTTTCGGGCTACTGACAATTTTTAATATATAACTCAAGAGGTTAATGTCGATGCAAGCTTCTAACGCGCCTGAAGCGATCGCGTTTTGACATCGAACGGAGAAACCGTCTTCGCGTTATATTCCTTTCCGGCAACACGGCCAACTGAAAGACAGACATGAGACACAGACAAACAAAAAAGGGAAGGATAAGCTCAGTCGGTAGAGCGCCTGACTACAGAGCGGAATGTCGCGGGTTCAATTCTCGGGGCCCGAGAAATACTCATGGTCTTAAAAATAACTGAGAAATGAAGGTATTGCACGACTGCGCTGCAAACGGCTAGACGGACTTTCGAGTGGCTATGATGACCACGTAAAATGGCGGCCCCGTCTCCAGTAGGAGGCTTAAAAATGCTGTCCCAATTATTACTTTCGTGCTAAATACATTGAAACTGGAAAAAAGTGGGTCTTTTTTCTCTTCTGATAGGTCGAAGGATAATGGAGTCGTCACTACAAACTAACTATATAGTTGTCGAAGTCGAAAAAATGCCGTAGGATGGCGTTTTTGATGTGTGACGGATGAATGGAAGAGGCAACCGTGAAAATTAATAGGATTGTAGTGCACACTTCTATAAAGGCCGTTACTGGTATTGAAGGTTTGATGTCAAGGAAAAGCGAAGGAAATTTCAGGAATTTCCCAAGCTATATTTCTAACACTGGAGGGGGAAGGGGTTGATAGACCGAGTTGACAAACTTGTTGAGTTCTTAATTCTTTACTTAATGAGACTGAAGTATTTTCTCTAAATACAACGGACAAAAACCTGAGCCTTTAGAACGCTACAATGACGACTGTGTTTGCGAACTTCATAAAATAAAGAGACTGCATATTCACCCGTACTCTGAATTAGTTGTGCCGTGTTGAAAGCCCGAACGTCCAATCGTCGCCTGCTTTTACCAGTAATTAAGACCCCACTTATTGGAAAACTGCTCTAATCGATCCAATATCAGATTAGATCCATTACTTGGAACCAGCCTGTCTGAACAAAATGTAATCATTTCTCCAAAAACATACCTGATTGTCTGTTAACAGTCCTACTACAAAAGGTCCAATGATCCCTGGAATTGTTCCCGCTGAGTTTGTGATTCCCATTAGAACTCCCGAGAATCTAGGAGCGATGTCCAAATGATTGACACGGTAGGTAGCCGCATTAAGATTAGAGGCCCCTAGGGCCAGTGAAAATAAAACAACAGCCAGGCTGGTGGAGTTGCAGCCAACATAACTTGTAGCTACCATCAGGCAGGCAGGTATAAGGTAACCTGAGATACAGAGACAGATCACTAAGTGAAACTGGAAAGAATTCTCAGAACGTCTACATGCAGATACAGTTGAAGCTCTCGACAACGTCCACCTTGAGAACAGAAGAAAGTAGCCGATGTAAAAAGGTGGCTGTTCTAGAGCGGTTTAAACAAGAGTCAATGTATGGACTGTCCGCCAAAAAAGTGGCCGCTGTAGAAACATTTACCTACTTACCAACAAACGAAACCCAATCTGTCGTCAGTCCTTTGACTGACTATTGCTTGTGGACAGGAACGTGGTGTAATGACCATAAAAGAGGAAGAAAGGAGACTAAATGTAATTGCCCCATTTTTATACTAATCTTACTAAACCATGTTTAACCCCACAATTTTAAAGCATTGTCTTCCATTTCTCTTGGGGCGACTGCAATATCCAGGGAAAATTCAAAACTATTCTTACGTGGAAGTAGGTCAGAGGTAAACTGAAGCAAGATGTAATATGGGCAATGTAAAAAGTGTGAATGGCTGACAAGTTCCCTAATTTGGAATAACCATTGTTTGTTCATCAAGTTAAAATGATATAACCTAGCGACTTTAAAGAGACTTGTCAATTGTTCCCTCACGAACCTTTTGTATTATTGCTCTCATTTTAACCCTTTTGGTCCCAAGAGTGACCAACATCTGTTTTCTCCTAACAACATCAGCAGACCATCAAGAGTAAAGGTTACGAGAATTACTAAATTCATTATCAAAGGCACTGGTATCTTAAACCAAATTCTCTCTACTATTCTTAAAAGAAATGTATGGAGATCAGTCTGGAGAATTTGTATGTGGATCTTAAAGACACTCACCTCCTGTAGCAAGGACTTTCCTGACCTCCCCAGTAGATAATACATTGTTTTCACGCATCCAGTCCGCAAGCTGACCAGAACCGATACCAGTTACGCACATACAAACAAACGGAACAGCAGACAAAAGACCCTTCTGAAATAATACGAGTTTTAACTGATCAACATACTTTTAAGAAACCGTTTGATTAAGGGCCTGTTTACATGGAGGTGGGGGACCCAAGGTAGGTGAGGTAACCCGCTTAGGTGGGGTAACGTACTCTCCTGTCCATACAATCTCTCATATGGTCACCTCACCTATCATGTAAACGTGATCAAATTAAAATAAAAGATTATATAGACGGGCGGGTTACCCCACACAAGCGCGTTACCTCACCTACCTGGGGTCCCCCGCCTCCATGTAAACAGGCCCCAAGTCGCACCCATCTCGAAAGTGGAACGTCACTTAATATCGGATAGGTTCGGCGCCAGTCTTTGTCAGCAGACCTGCACCGTTCTAAACCTTCTATTTCACTGGTCACCTTTAATCTGCACTTCCATTGTTTTCAGGGATAGGGGCATTGTTATGTGACAATCCCTATTGTTTTCCCAGCTAATCAAAAACAATCTTTTAAATAGGAGCGGGATCGCCCGTCTTTGTACCTATTCCACAAGCGATCTATAAAGGCTGGTTTTCACTAGTGACGGAGTCAGAGTCGGAGTCGTAAGCGGGGTCGTAAGAGCGCTTATGACCTAGTGAAAATCAAAAATCGGAGTCGTAAGCGGAGTCATAAGCGCGACGGAATCGGAGTCAGAAGAATCAGAACGTTTCCATTTTCTTCCGACTCCGCTTACGACTCCGTCGCTTACGTTCCGCTTATGATCTGGTGAAAACCAGATTGTCGGAGTCGGAAGCAGAAGCGGAAGGATAAGCCAATCAGAATGCACGTTCCCACGCTTTGTGATTGGTTTGGTTCTTCTGCTTCTGCTTCCGACTCCGACAATCTGGTTTTCACTAGATCATAAGCGGAACGTAAGCGACGGAGTCGTAAGCGGAATCGGAACGCTGTTTTCACTAGATCATAACCTCTACGCTTCTGATTACGACTCCGACTCAGACTCCGTCGCTAGTGAAAACCAGCCTTAACAATGCGTCTTTCTCACCTGAGAAATTGAAAAGTTGAGAACTTCTTTGAAATAAGACGGCAAACAAGTAAGAAAGGTGTAAAAACCCCAGTTGTCGCAGAAATGTGCGACAATTATCCCCCACACGGCTGGCGAAGTGAAGATTGCAAACCATGGGGTGTCATATTTCTGAAAAAATTAACAATGTAGTTAGAGGGGTCACATATTTCAAAACATGGAAAAACCCCTCCCACTCCTCCACCCTACCCCCCAACCTCGCAAATTCCATTCAACCAAAATCTTCTGTTTAAATTTCCGGCAACTTCCAGTATCAAATAGACCAGAAATTTCCAAAATTTTGGAAAGAAGAGGACAACCACGCGAGGTGTACCCAGCTTTTGAAAAGTTTCTTCCCGGTAGTTTTTCTCGTGTTCTCCCAACATCCCGCGTGCGTTATCACGCCGGTAAACCCATAGAAATTGTTGTCTATCACTTAAATACCCTACAGATTAGTCAGTTATCTGCTAACAGATAAGTTACTTATCTGTAGGCTACGCTGATTTTTAAAATTAGTTGTTGGCATCTAGCCAGCTAATGAGTGCAATGTATAATAACAGACCGAATTGGACGACACAACGTTCTGTTTGACCAAATGAATTAATCATAACTGTAGTAAATTTGCGATATTTGAAGCTTTTTTTTTTTTTTAATCAAAACACAAGAATTTCTGATAGACAGCTTTTTTGCTAGCAGTCAATCTCGAGCCCAGAGCTCTTCTGGGCATGACTTACGTGCGTAGTCAAAAAGCCATTCAAGTGCGCACACCCAATGGCGAGCACTGTCCTATTACACTGTTCTATTAGTGTTGAATTCTGTTATAGTTATGTTTCGCGACAAAAAGGGGCTACTCAAATAAAGATAGCATAATTCCCGTACTCTTCTTCCTTTGTCCTGTCCTGCTCCTATAGTAGCATGAATATATTCTCTCTCTTTGATGGATATTCTTGGATGATTAGCTGGTCTGTTGTACGTAAACATCATCCAGATGAAAAACCATAAAATGCCAACACCACCTAAATCAAACATTTAATTTATAGTACTATTTCAACACCAATCTGTCAATATGTAAAGAAGCACAAACGTATTTGATCACGGCTACGCGCAAGATAGCCTGGGACCAGGCTCCGCATTGGGAGAAAAAGGAGAAAAAAATCGGCGAGCGAAAATTTTTTTTTCCGCTCGCCGACATTTTTCCTATTTCACCCCCTTTTTTGCCTTTTTCCCCACTGTGAAGCCTGGTCCCAGGCTACGCGCAAGACGACGGGATTCATGACAAAGTACCATATATCGGGAGACAAACGATAAACGAGCCCATCACAAATACCGCGAAGAAGACCTCTTCATTTCAAATGCTATAGCGTTACTATTCAAATGAAACCCCTCTGACAGAACCGTTGTGAAGAACTACTTATTTTCTAGTGGTCTACAAAAGGATATTGGAATTTTTGTTGTGAAGTTTTTATCACCATTAGGAGTAAAAGGATTAAGCACATGGTCATGAAGAAATTCATTTACCTATGGTCTACAAGGGAGTTTCATAGTAATTTAACATTACTCTTGAGGTATCCTTTAAAAGTATCGTCATAATGGAGGGAGTCCCCATGCTGAATGTACACTTTCATCAAAAGTATCTTCCAAAAAGCTGAGGGTGGTGTCAGGGCGTAGATGGCATTTACTCGTTATAAAACTTTCACGTTGCCTCGAAATTTCTTGTAAATGACAAACTCACAGCTCCAAAACAAACAGATATATGTCTTCCTGAGGTTACAATTGATTATTTAAGCTTACACTACAGATAACAGATATAAACTTTGACTTTGGCGGTCAGATTAAACGGTGGTTTCAAAAGCCCCACTCACTGGAATCGGTTTCATCTTCTTCAGTTTTGACCATTCGTGCCTTGAGTTCCATAGTTTACTTGCTACATGTTTGACATTTGAATGTCCCTTGACTGTTTTACTTAACGTCAACACGAGAATTGTTTTTTTCTTCGGTTACAAACCTGCCTCATGCTGAGTTTGGTAAATTTTACAATTTTATATGGAAAATTGCCAATTTCAAACAATTTGGTAACGTCCAGGAGTTGTTTTTATATAACATTCTATTTGGTTGCCCTTCTCAGCTCATTGTAGCGGAATTCGGTTCAGCCGCGAGGCACTAACTATATATCAGTTATATCCAAGTCTCCACTAAAGGTGTCTAAAATAATAGAAATATCATCATTGACAATAGGTATACCCAGAAGGGAGCGCTTCTTATTCACTGTATTGCAGGGGAAATACTTACCAAAGGCATAAAATACAGATGGCCATCCTCCCCAGATGTCAGATGCACAGAGAACTCCTGCCAATGGCATGCCAAGAATAGTGCCAAGGTCTTTCCCTTTGTGATACGAAAGGCAGTAAAATAAACAGCTATTCTTGCACTGAACTTGCGACATCTAACCTGGAGGTGCATTTATCTTTTATTAGGGAACTTAAGTAAAGGCGTTTTGAGCGACGAACGTCAACTCAAAGTAAGCCCCTTTCTATTTTAATTAGCCATAACGCTTCCAAATTTGTATTGCTAAGGGTCTATAGTATCAAGGTGATTCGACCGAAAATTTGGGCAAAAAACTGCCTAAGAATGGATCCACTTCTGGTAGAAGTGTGCGTCGCTCAAAAACGTCTTTGCTTAACCTTACTAATTTTGACCGTAAAACGTATGAGCAGCCCCTAATTTCTGGCGAACGTTGCTTGGGAGATTTTACTGGTTTGACCGCAGTGAATAAGGAGGGTTGTGTGCGAATCCAAATAAATGCTGAATGGGCGACTGTATTATTACGAGAGCTCTGATTCTCGGATTTGAATTCACGAACTCACGAACTCTAGCTCACCACATGGAACCGGCATTTTTCCAACCGAGTTGAACGGGTGGTGGTTAACAACTGAATTAAAATGTACTTACCTGCATAAGAAAAAGTGACAAGTTTGCTCCTTTCCAAGGGAGGGGCCCAAAAGCTCCACATGGCATGCATAGCTGGGAACGTTACACCCTGCACGGGACATGACATTAGACGAATTTTTTACAATTGGCCTTTCGGGACATCATCGCGCAGATTGAGTGGACATCATTAGTTAGTCATGGCCGCTTGTAAGCATGCGCTTCATGAGCCACTTAAAGTGACATATTCGGGAACAAAAGAATAAACAATAGCTCGCATGGCCTTTGTTTCTTTGCTCTGCCCTAACAATTTGATAAATAAGGTGGTATTATCTACAAAGGAAATAACGCACCGACTTCGACCAATGAAAGTGATTCAGTTTACGTTTCACCTATAATATTACAGACCTATGTTTCCACCTCGTCTGTTAGTGAAAAATTCCAAGAGCGGAATAGCGACCTCTTGTGACCTTTGTTGACCTGGAAGATAAAGGGGAAGTTTGGCTGTCCCAGCAAGTTCATAACGACCGTCCTGGCAGAAGAAACGTTTCAAAGACTGCTTCAAAGAGTCCCACAAAGACGTAAACATCAACCCCAGTACTTGAGAGTCGCTTGCCTCGGATAGTCTAACTTGGCGTAGCAAAGTCACCACTGTGGCCCCTGCGACAGAAAACCGACGGACCGCCAAAGCACAGAGGAAATGGCCGCGCGCAAAGCCAGAGCAACCTCCACCTCCACAGACGCAGTACCCACATACTCAAGTCACATGAGTGCGCGAGCCTTCTGGGCTCGGATTGGACTCACTGGTCATCTCCAGACCCACTGCCGCTAGTCTGAAGTCTGAAGTCATGGTTATCTTCGACTTTCGAAGGACGAACAACAGCAACTACAATCAACAACAAGTACAACGACCCGAGAACAATAGCCATTCTGCGCGATGTTTTATTGAGTGTGTATTTGTATAGTTCAAATTGTACTGATGTAAACACTACTGATTAAAGTATAAACAAGGCTGGAGGGGTTAAAGGTACATGTAAGAAAGCAAATCCCTATTAAAGAAGAAATTAGCTTACAACGATACGTTACAGAAATTCAGAATCACGTTTACGGCAAACGGCAGACTTCAATTTGCACCATGCACTTGACCAAATTCAATCTCTTCTAAGCAACAGCAATAGGTTTCATTTTAGGTTCATCCACATGACTTATTTTCAACAGTTTTTCTTTGCTGACATTTCTAATTTGATACTCGAATTGTCAACCTGAATCTGACGTTTACCGTTAGCTGTACACATGATTCGTGGAATCTGCCGTGTGTTCTTCACGGCTTTTCCCCGATAAAACAACAACTTTTTCCAAAAGTCTGCACAAAATTAAAAAAGGAAATTAATTAATTAATTAATATAAAAAAAAAAAATTTCGTTCGAATCACTTGAACTTCATTAGCAATGTAATTTGAGATTCGGTTACGTATTTTACGTTAAGAATTCCCAAGAGGGGATTGTGAATGGCTGGGCAGATTGTTATCGAAAAGCCTTTTTAATAGAACCTCTTCAAGAAAAATCTATTTCCCACTCTTAATATGGTCTTCATCGTGGGGAGAAGGCTACTTTTAAGTGCTGGCAGTTGAAAATATTGAACATGAAAACAGCGCAGCTCTTTTAGTTTAAATTTATAAAGTAAGAAAAATACTTGTGTCATAAACCCATGTACACATGCACCTGCTTTATTTGAAATAATAACTGGGCTTATTTAGGATTGCCTTCAGTTAGAATGACGTTTTACTTTTCGTTTGACCTTTTCTTTGCCTTTGTTGGGTTTTACAGGATTTATGGAGCCTGTGTGGCAGGCGTTAAAAGGGGGAAGGGAAGTAGGAATTTGGTTGCGCCAGAACGCCGGGGACTGTGAGAAGTGGGGAAAAAGGGGAACTTCTCGCGTGTCCCTCGCGCTCTCGCTAGTGCTCTTATTCCCCTTCCCCTTCCCCTTTTTTTATGAATGCCACGAATCAATTTTAGTACTAAAACCAATCCGCTACAAAATGTTTGCAACTAAATAGTTTACCTCTCCTAATCCTTCCAGTATTCTCACCAGAATTAACATCCCAACACTATGACGTGCAGCAAGAGGAGTGAAAATTGTCAACACAGAAGTGCAAAGCACTCNCTCGCTAGTGCTCTTATTCCCCTTCCCCTTCCCCTTTTTTTATGAATGCCACGAATCAATTTTAGTACTAAAACCAATCCGCTACAAAATGTTTGCAACTAAATAGTTTACCTCTCCTAATCCTTCCAGTATTCTCACCAGAATTAACATCCCAACACTATGACGTGCAGCAAGAGGAGTGAAAATTGTCAACACAGAAGTGCAAAGCACTCCCAGGCCTAACAAATATTTCCCACCAAACCGTGTTCCTAGCCAGCCACCTGGTAACTGAGTGATGACATAGCCAAAGAAAAATGAACCCAGTATTAGACCTATAAAGAGCCAAAAACCAAGTATTCTGATCAATAAATAAGAATCTAATAGTACAATGTAGCACATCCACAAACTAAGGGATTCTTAATACCCTCCATCCAATATTGCAAGAACAAAATAAAATAAAATGATAGAATTCAAACTCCCTTAGATCTGAAAACAGCAATTGTGATAAACCATTCAGATTGGGTGCAGACTAGAGTATCTAAACAACCTAAATGGGTAGCCAAGTGTAGCTTATGTCAGGAAAGAAGAGGGATAGGGGTACAATATGGCACAAAAGGAACTGCATGTAGAGTTGGCAACAAAAACAACAACTAATAGTGTGATGTAGCACATCCACAAAGGGGATCTTTGCCGTCCATGGAACTGACTGCAATCTTCAGCAAAATGAAATAACATGGATAAAATTCAAACTCTCCTAGACCTGAAAACGGCAATTGTGATAAACCATTCAGATTGGGCATAGACTACTAACACACCCCGTGTGGATACGCTAATGACAAGTAAACACCAGCATCAAATAAATATTTGTGCTTCCTTTAAATCATCATCATCATTATTATTAGTAGTAGTAGTATTGTTATTGCTATTATTGTTATCAGTGGTGGATCCAGGAGAGGGGCCCGGGGGGCATGGGCCCCCTTCTTATTTTGAGGCCAAACTGAGGACTGAAGGGCCAAAAACTTTTTTTTTGAGACCCAGCTTCCCCCCCCCCCACCCCTTTTCTCAGGGTGTGTATGACCGGGCTCCCCCCTTTTCTGAAATGTTGGATCCACCACTGATTATTATATTATTATTGTTAAAATTATATATTTTTTTTTCTCCTCAGTGATTTTCTAAATGTCTTTGTTCTCATTGCTACTAAGAAACACATTTATCAAAGCAGATAACTTTAGGAAAGCAGAAAGCTAATATCCCACATGGCAATGGGTGTCTACTTAATGCAGGTTTCACCATATAAGGTTTGTCCAATAAAGACTGCAAGCAATTCCTTATTTTTCTTTTGAGTCACAGCTGATCAAGAGCACATGAAAGGACCAAGTGGTAAATGGTAGATCATGAACACATGAAGGATCGAGCAGCAAAGCTGCAAGGAAATAAAATGAGAGTGGAGCCCAAGCGAAGTAAAAAGTCATTTTTCGATTCTCTCTCCACCCCGATTTCTCCTCCTTTTTACCCTCATTTGCATAATTTCACTAAGTGAAACCTCTATTAAGCGAACACCTTCTGGACCTTCCCAAGTGTCTGCTTAATAGAGGGTGTCCGCTTAATTAAATAAGGGTTGTAAAAATTGCACATGTTGTTAAAGAAGTTAACCAGAGTTCAAGTTCATTACCTTTCATTACCACCTTTAATTTGGTTGTAAGTGCAAAAACACTAACTGACTTCAATACATATTTCAAGGGCGTTATCCAAAACTACTATTGTTAATTCAGTCCGGTGTCTGCTTGATAGACGTTTTTAATAGAAAATATAGCCAAATACAACTTATTTTAGTGTCTGCATCCACTTAATAGAGGTGTCTGCTGAATAGGGGTTCGTTACAAAGGGAAACATCAGACGTTCATTTCGGGACCCAGCTTAGTGTCTGCCTAATAAAGGGTGTCCGCTTAATTGGGGGTCCACGTAATAGAGGTTTCACTGTATTTGCCTGCCATACATGGCTCTGAGGAAAGAATGACACCCGCCCACATTCTAGTCCAATACTGCATCCCATGCAATGTACTTTGACATAGGGCTCCTGGCTCCAGCAAAAACTACATGAAAATCATTGCCCTGCAAACCTAGGAAAAAAGGATGCCCGGAATAAAAATTTAATGCGCAGTTGCCAGGAGCCAATGACATCTGCTAAAGTACAGCCCTGCTTATTATTTTATTTATTTGTTTGTTTGTTTGTTTGTTTTCAACACTGCACTCCAAAAACATATTTATGCACATTGGACATTCTTAGTGTCATGGTTCTCTTTACATTTAGTATGAAATCTCAAAATAACTCAGTTCACTTATTAATAAAACGACACTTCAATTTTACGAGATAGGAAAAAAAAACTTTTTTCATACGCAACAAGCTGTAGAAAGGTAACAAAGAACTAAAAATGCCACCAACACTTTGCTATGACTACATCGCTTGTGAGTCAGTACATTGTGCAACGTCATCACTTACACAGATTGAAATTTGTTTATTGAGTCTGAATGGATAGTAACTGTAAATTCTATCTGGTGGGTAACACTACAGTGGAACCCCGTTAATACAGTACAGACACCAATGGGACATGCCACAGTGGCCGTGTTAACCCGCTATCTGTATTAAGCGGATTAATTTTAGAGAAAATACATGAGCTTCTATTTCGTTTTGCAGTTCCTGTTGCAGGAAAAGGGAGGCAATTGATATTTATTGAATTCATGTACAGAGATTTGGTGAGCACATTACCTTGTGTTTTTTGATCCCAGTTAAACTCTCCATCCTACAGAAGAAAAATGATTACATGTAGTATTTTTCACAAAAAGAAGGGTTGAGAGTCCCTTTTGATCTGAAATGTTTTTAAAAAAAACCTTCCTAATTAAAGTTAGAATGTTATTAAACATGTTTGATGTACATGTTCCATTAGGTAGTGTGAAAATGTCCCCGGAAGAGCTGTTAAACAAAACTTCTGAACATAATAATAATGAAATAATGATGATATTGATAACTAAATTTCAATAAATAATCATCATTATAACTCAATATTATTATTTGTTCAATATATTTCCCCAACTTCCAGTTGGCTTTGTTTACCAGTATAATCCAAGAAAAAAACAATTATCAGTTGGTTTGTGTATAATATGGCAAATTATGCAGGTCTGCATAATTCTTCACATCATACTCGGCCTCATCCAATAATTGCTAATGACTATTTTCATGCCAAATATTGGGACCCATTGTAACATAATTGTACAAAAAATTGCTATTCTCTGTGGCCGGGAAATTCAAAAATGGAAATTAAAATGCATCATTTGGGCCTGACTCCAGGTTGGTTTGTGCTTGATTCGTGGCTCGTGATTGACTCATGCATGTTGTTGGCACGTGAAACGGCAAAATAAAACGTGTTACATACCACATCAATATTTTTTACATGTATACCAAAAACTTTGATGTATTGTTTTTCCCTCGCAAATACAGTACACTAGACTCTTTTCCTTCTTACCTTTTCCTCAGAATCTGTGGAAGAATTTCTTTGACATTCCGGGTTATTTGCAGACGCCTGTTCGTTCGCGTAGGTGGAATTGACCATGGCCACCAGAGCCACGCTTAAATTCACTCGGAGAAGATACACCACACAAAAACCCGAACAGGACAAGGCTGCTAGAACGTATCGAGCGGGTATATAGCATCTTCGCTCCCGTTGAGAGTTTGAGCTGTTTTCTAGCAGGAGTGGCAAGGCCTCCTCCATTGCCAAAGAAATAACAGGACTTTGAGGTTTTAAGACAATGTAGTGTAATTCACATGCTGCACTTTGCTGAAGTCACGAGAGAAGTAAATTTTGAAATACGCGGTAATACCTGGAAACTGGATAGACGAGCAGAGGCTCTGGGAACTAGTTCGCACAGGACAGAAAGATCATAACTTTGGTCTTTTTGGAATTTATATCTAACATCCAAGAGTTGCAAAAAGAGGATAGTGTNGGGAGTAGGCATTTTCTAGAAAATTCACACAAGGCGGTGGTACGTTACTAAATAAGAGAGCAACACAAAAACTGTTACTAAATAAGAGAGCAACACAAAAACTCATCTTTTAACATCTTAACATCTTTTAAATTTGTTTTTATTGCACATTTTATTTTTTTTGTTCACTTATTTGTTTATTTACTTATTTTTCACACCGAAAACTAAAATTAGCCCTTCGACGAACGCTAGCACTGTGGTTTTATATTACCTTCTTGTGATACTATTTGTTTTTGTTTAGTCACGTTTTACTAGAAAAAATTGTGTAACAATAAAATTTGAGATGATTTTTTTTTCAATTTTCATTTCCGCTACGTGTTACATAATAAAACCTCAAAGGAAAACCTAGTTTCAAATCTTAAATAACAAATAGAATCATATTTAAATAATCCTTTACTTCTTCATCGGAATGTGACCTTGGCGACTCTCTCCTCCGAGGAGGCTTCCGTTGGGTATTTCGATAAAAACAGCAATAATTAAAAACTTCAGAGCGCACGGTGGATGAAGGGAAGAGGAAAAATGCCTTCCCACCGCTCCCCTCGCGATTTCCTTTTTCCCTCTCCCCAGTCTCAATACGACACAAAGGGGCCTCTGCGTAAGAGAGAGAGTCGCTGACTAGTTGCATTCGTCGGTGCTGGAATGCAAAGGTTATCTCACTGAAGGGCCTGCAATTTAAGGCTCCTGTGGTTGTTAGTAAAAATGCTTCCAATTCAGCTCCCTCATTCAAGGAATTAAGCAATCTTTTTACCAGAAATCTGCATTCCAAACCAAACTTTGTTCTTATTTCTTTTTTTCTTTTTTCCTGTAAAAGAGAGCGAGGGTCCGTAAGAAGTGCTGGTACCTCATTTATCACTCAGGATTTTTGGCCCCCTGGGATCTCGGATCTCAGTTATAAATAACAGAGCCGTTCATTTCGCAGCTGACAGTTGCAACTATAACCATCTGTCAGCTAAAGATCAGTTAGGACCTATCCAGAGCTTAATTTCTGGGTTCAGGATACCCATTAACAAGACGATATTCATGTGGAAGGGAGGTGAACAATGTATATAGTCATTCTTGTTAAATGTAGCAGGCCCACACTCTGCGTTTTCGTTACTTATATTCCACGTCCTAGCAGGCAAAGGCAGAATAACATCGACCTATGGTAGGTTTACGAGCCCGCAAGACTGAGTAAACTCCAACCAACCACCAACTGTTTTCGCCAGTGAAACCGCTGGTCCACAAACCTACCTTAGGCCGATGATGTCGCAACCACCCTAGCATTCGGCGGCAGATTGTGAAGTTTCTGTAACCGAATCGTTCAAGTTTTTTATTGCCACAGTGTCCACCATAACAGGTATCCTTGGCGCTCGGGGAATATCAGTTGGCACCAACTTGTCTTCAAAAGGTGTATTCCACTCTTGGACTTTACCGCTCGCAAAAAGTACAAACGTTACCCAGCCGATTATGTACATCCCAGCAGATATGTAAAACACTTTCTGCCACTGAAGTCTTGTCGGCTGTGGAAAGGAGACAGTTAGCTATCGACTACAATTAATGAAACCGAGCCGTGTTTGATACATGTACGGGCTGAAGGTCAACTGGCGGTTGAATCATTAGGGCCATTTATACGAGGAAAAATAAGACGCGTCTTACATAAGACGTGACTTGAATAAGACGCGAACTTTCCGTATAAACGGCACATTTCGTCTAAAATACGACGCGGCTTATTAGATAAGACAAGCTCGTATAAATGGTACAGTTCGCGTCTTATTTTTCCTCGTATAAATGGCCCTATTATCTCGTTACGTAAGCCGCTGTCTTCAATGGACAAAGCGCGGCAAGTAAATAGACTAACTAAATAGTTGTCGAAGTCTAAAAATGCGACAGATAAATGGAAGAGGCAACCGTGACAATTAATAGGATTGTAGTGCACACTTCTACAAAAGCCGTTACTGCTTATTGAAGGTTTGGTGTCGAGGAAAAGCGAAGAAAATTTCAGGAATTTCCAAGCTATATTTTTAACCCTGGAGGGGGAGGGAGTTGATAGACCGAGTTGACAAACTGGTTGAGTTCTTAATTCTTTACTTAATGACACTGAAGTATTTTTCTCTGAATACATCGGACAAAAACCTGAGCCTTTCAAACGCTACAATGATGACTGTGTTTGCGAACCTCATCAAATAAAGAGACTGCATATTCACCCGTACTCTGAGTTAGTTGTGCCGTATTGAAAGCAAGAACGTTCAATCGTCGCCTGCTTTTACCGGTTATAATTAAGACCCGACTTATTAGAAAACTGCTCTAATCACTCACTGTTGTCAAAAAAAGGGGACAACAACGGGCCGGTTTTCGTCGACAGATCAATCCCATGTGCACAGAAATGGCACCATCCAATATCAGATTAGATCCATTAATTAGAACCAGCCCCGTCTGAACACAACGTAATCGTTTCTCGAAAAACATACCTGATTGTCCTTTAACAGTCCTACTACAAAAGGTCCAATGATCCCTGGAATTGGTGCCGCTGAGTTTGTGATTCCCATCAGAACTCCCGAGAATCTAGGAGCGATGTCCAAATGATTGACACCGTAGGTAGCCGCATTAAGATTAGAGGCCCCTAGGGCCAGTGAAAATAAAACAACAGCCAGGCTGGTGGAGTTGTAGCCAACATAACTTGTAGCTACCATCAGGCAGGCAGGTATAAGGTAACCTGAGATACAGAAACAGATCACTAAGTGAAACTGGAAAGAATTCTCAGAACGTCTACATGCAGATAAAGTTGAAGCTCTCGACAACGGCCACTTTGATAACAGAAGAAAGTGGCCGATGTAGAAA